GGCCACTTTGGGATTCAAAGATGTCTAGCAAGAGCTAAAGAAAACATCTGGTGGCCTGGAATAACAAGACAGCTTAAAGGCATAGTAGAACAATGTGAAGTATGTATAAAACATAAACACCCGAGTGTAGAACCAATGATATCTAGCGAGGTACCGACAAGACCTTGGGAAGTTGTGGGTGCAGACCTTGCATACTACGAAAACAAAAACTACTTAGTAATTCAAGACTACTACACGAAGTACCCAGAAATAAAAAAGATGAAGAGAATTACTAGCAAAAACGTCATTGAGGCATTTAAAGAAATTTTTGCAAGACATGGTATACCCGACAAAGTTAGAAGCAACAATGGAAGACAATTCGACTGTTTAGAATTTCGAAATTTTGCAAACCAATATGGATTCAAATGGATAAGTAGCAGTCCAGAATATCAACAATCTAATGGACAAGCAGAAAGTGCAGTGAAGTTGGTAAAAAAAATTCTCAAAAAGAATGAAGACCCATATTTGGCTATTTTATCATACAGAAACACATCACTAAAGTGTGGAATGTCACCAGCTCAGCTACTATTTGGTAGATCACTACGAGAAAGAGTACCGATATTGTCAAATAAATTGCAGCCAATACTACCAAACCACCAAGAAGTGAGAAAAAGACTATTGGAAGAACAACAGAATCAAAAGAAGTATTATGATCGACGTCACCGAACACGATACAACTCTGAATTGAAATCAGGCTGCAAAGTATGGATCATAAACTCCAGAAAAGAAGGAATTGTGAAAATGAAAAGAGATGAACCACGATCATACGAAGTAGAAACAAACGAGGGAGTCATTCGAAGAAATAGAGTACACTTACAACCAATGAATATAGGAAACGAAATAGAAGTTAACAACCCAGAAGAAAACCGCATCCCAAGAGAGAAGTCAACGAAGAAAGAAAGTACCTACGGGGCTTCAGGAAATGTGCGCCGCAGTGAACGAATGAAGACTGCCCCAAAAAGATTTAATGACTTTATTCGTTAATGTTTGTATTCTTATTTTTGTCAGTATTTAGTTTTTATGTAACCTCATTCATGTTCATTTGTTAAGTTTATTTTATTTGTATTTCTTAAGAAAGGGAGATGTAGGGTTGATCTTAGTTAGGTTGGTATTGTACGTTGGTACTGTTGACAGTTGGTTGAGAGATGAATAAAGAGGCAAGCATGGCGAAAGACACCGTAACAGATATTAATTAATACCCGGTCCCCTGCAAAGCCAACCACCACAGTAGGTTTTCAATCAAAATATATCTGTTTATCAAGCCCAAAAACTTGAAGACGTCATCTCAAGATTTTGCCCACTAAATCCTATCTAAAATGTGGAAAATATCATCAGTATATTTTCGTAATTTATTATTGCATTCATATTTTTTAGATTTGCTTTTACAGTGACTCAAAAAAATATATGGATCAGTCAATTTATTTTAGTGAATAACTCAAGAGTTGCAAAAATGAATACTTTGAGATCTAGCAGACGTTTTAAAGTTATTGTAAGCATATTGTTAAGAATATTTATTTATTGCCCCCAAAAAATTGATGGAATGGCTCACTGGATTTCCGCAGATAATTTTGGGAATGCAATACAGTTATTTTTAGTATTTATTACACTGCACCAATCCAAGGTGGTATACGTGTTGATCGTAAATGTTGATTAGGTCATCACAAAATTGTGTGAAGAAAAGACTCAACTCGAAAATGCTGAATACATATGTTTCATTATACTTTTGGTGCGAAGGAAGTTCTGTCGAAACAACGGTCGATCAATTTTTTGACAATGGTTGATATAAATAAAACTCAGTAGATGCTCATACTCGAAATACGAAGTATCTACTCGAATATCAAATCAAAATATTTCTAGTTTTTCTAGATGATATTAAAGTTTTTTTCGATATTCCTGCTCCTAATGTGTTTTTCAAACTGAATGTACCTTTTGATGACGTTCCACGTTCATGAAAGTCGCCATGTTTAGTTAAATTTCACTCTTACAACGATCCTACTCGTTTTCTAAGCTGCTTTACAGACAGCACAGTTATTTGCCACGCCGATCCTCATTTTTAGATTAAATGCTCACAAACGCGTAGATGTTCAATTTGTGTCCGGGAAGGTACCATTTTTCCAAGTAGGTACTCAGTACATAGAGTAGATGCTCAGGTATATAAGCGTAATAATGAAGTAGGTACTTCGTACTTCGAATATTAGTTTCTACACAGTTTTATTCATACCACCCAATGTCTCGCTTCAATGTTTGATTATGTTGATTATGAGCACAACGCTGATCAACTTCCATATCCGAATTACCCATGAAATAAATCATTGCGGTTTGCACCTGAGGTAGTTCGTCGCACATTTGATTGACTTCGTGGACCTATGTGAGGTTGTCGTCTTCTCGGCATTTTAATGAACTTCATAAAACGACACAATTATTTTCACAGTCAGCCAAATCTGTAAATTTTATCTTGAGAATTTTAAAATATTGAAAACTTCAAATTAAATCCTGGAATAACGGTAAAGTTTGAGGTTTTGTCGAAACCAACAAAGTGAATATAGGTAAATAGAATGGCAGATCAAAATGAATAAGAAACTTTCGCAATGTGTAATTAAATTCACTTTAACCAAGACTTTTCTTAAAATAAACAACGTTTTTTTTACGAAAAAACAAAGAACGATTTGAAATGCAATATACTTTTCACAACTGCGCGGAAGAATTAGTTTTGTATGACACGTCAGTTAGACAACAGGTCAGAAACGCCAACTATTGAAATTAATTCGAAGTGGCGATTCCCATACAAAATTTTTAGAATTTTTTTATTTTTTAACTGTTCTTTTAAGTTTTCCTTATTTTTTTTTATTTATAAACCATCCCCGTAATATAAAAAATTCTTCAAATCGGTCAAGCCGTTTTTGAATCTTAGCGAAATTAACAGGAACAGCAATTGATTTTTATTATATGGACGATTAAAAAATGGGGGTTGGTGGTAGAAAGGTGAAAATTTAGGGTTATGTGTATTTTTTGATGCCAATTCTTAAAAAAAATAAAAATAAAAAATTTTGTCCAAAAAATAGACAAAAATTTTTTAGGGTGGGCCACCCTTATCACTTAGGGGTTTAAAAAATAGTTTACAACCTATTCTCAGACCTAGAATTTCATACAAATCGGTCAACCCATTTCGGAGAAATTCGGTTACAAACACTGTGACGCGAGAATTTTATTCATAATGCATTATTATTTTAGAACAAATTTCATTACCATAAAAAAGGTTATACTGACTCGACCTTAAAAGATAGACATATGCTGTCGCGGACTTTTCTTTAGAACTTTTAGAGGGGAACAATTTCGTTATACATGATTTTTACGTAACTTTAACCGTTTAAGCAGCGTAAGCAACGGAAGCTGTCAAAGGAGGAATAATTTTCCCGTTTTTCCGAATTTTTCATTTCTACTTCGCTCCTGATGATCGTAGCGTGATGTTATATAGCCTATATGTAGATATGATAATACATGGACTATCCAACACAAAAAGATTTTTTGAATTTGAACCAGTAGTTTCTGAGATTAACGTGTTCAAATAAACAAAAGCTTCAGCTTTATTATATAAGTATAGATTAACAATTTCAGAAATTACATTCTGTTAATGGGGATTTCCCTGTTGAATGTACTAAACTAATAACAATTAGTATTAAACTGCACCGATCCAAAGTGAAATAATTGTCTTTGCAAAAATGTTGATGTCATCAGAATATTTTGAAAAGTATTTTGAAACGTACGTGCAACACGTTTCTTCACATTTGCTTTAACGTTATATACATATCTTTATTTTAACTTATAAAGGTTCTAATGAAAAAATTAGCCGGATTTGTTTTATTGTACTTCAGGGGCCAGGAAAGTTCTGTCGAAATAACCTTCGATCATTTTTTAACTTTAATATAACCAAGCAATATTGATTCTAACAATGTAACTTTTACTGTTCTAGTGTTTTTAAAATTCTATCAAAAAAATCTTTCTGTTACTTCCACCGAAAGGTGCATTGAAATTTTTAACATGCGAAGTTTTTTTTATTACTGAAGATTTTAAAGTCAGTGGCGAAGTTGTAGAGTATGGTTTGAAATCATTTTTGTCCCGTTCACTAGAAATGGAGGTGGTGCGATAGTTTTTGTGGGGAGTGTATATCGGGTGTTCCACTGAAAAAGTCATCAAGTCATTTTTGTAAATATCGTGAATTCTGTTTATAGTTAACCTAAAATTTAATCGAAGATAGCTAACAACGCGGAAATGGCTATTATACACAACAGTATGACTGTATGAATTAATAAAACATACGCGTTTTTTGCTAGATTTCCTTCTGTCAAAAAAGCAACACCAACTTGATGACTTTTTCAACTGAACACCCGCTGCGTGTCTCTGCAACACTCTGCAACACCTTTTAAAAATTTCGTCAATATTGTAAAATTTGCAGATATGTTGGCACATCCAGACATACAGTATTTATAAGTATTTTGTAGCAGAATTTTGTTTCTTGTGACTTTGATCGATACTACTATATTTTAAATTTTCTTTAAAACTGATTTTCATATTCCACAAAGACAAGACGCCTGCATAGGTAACCCCAAAGAACAAATTGCAAAACGTGCCTAGAAATTATGCACTAGTGCGGTTGTTTGTATGTGCTACTAGGGATTCTCCGAACATCCTTATCTGTACAACATCGAATAATAATATTTGTCTTTTCCAACAAATATTAAATTTGTATTTGCACTTAGTTATTTACTTTTTAAGCCGCTCATAACTTTTCGCAGCAGGGACACTTCAAACGATAAAATGCTTCTACGAATTAATATTAAATTTCGCGAGCGGATTTGTTCTGAGCAAAGCGACTTTACTTTACATAACTTGCGTATTAAATTGCCGAAGCCGTGATGGAAGCACAAACATTTTCACCGCTAATTTTTTATCTCCAATTTCAGTGTGTCCCGGAACCAGAATTCGGCGATAGGAACGGAGGATATCGGTGTGTGTGTCGACAAGGATTCTTTTATCCTGAAGCCAACCTTAGCTGGAAGGGTTTTGCTGGTGAAGATATTGAGTCCGGAGTTATCGATTCACCTCGGTGAGTACCTATAACAATTCTTTTCTATAGATTTTTATGGGAGTTGCCGAACTTTGTTACTGAACAACAGGAAAGTTTACATAGTACACTGATGGTCTATTATTTAATATTATTTACAACATACATCAACAATAATGTTGATGTCAGGGTTCCAACCGATGATGCTTGCAAAGCGTAAAAATGCTTTTGTTGTAGATGAATGTGTAACTTCATGTTTTTCAGTTTTTCATAGCTTATAAAATAGGAAAATATCCTTCCGTTTGTCATTTATGGATTGTCGCTCTGTATGTACGACTGTTTGCAATATTTTACTTTGAAGTTTTAACTGTATACATATTAAGACTTAATGACGTATTCTTAAAATTATATTAAGTAAATATGAAAAAAAAAAATAACGTCTTAAAGCAGATTTATCGCGAAAAATTAAATTTTAGATTGAAATTTTACTATTTGATTTAGAGCATTAAGAAGTTTTGGTAACACATTGACACGAAGTTAATGAGATTTCTGTACATTAAATATTTTTCATTTTTATTTCCCGTGTGTAAACTAAGAATATATTGTAATTGGGTCCATCTCTCTTGTACTCTACTCTTATTGAAGAGTTGTTTGTTTATTTTTTTTAAGCTTTTATTTTCAAGCCAATTTATCCAAAAGAATTAAAAGTTACGTAATCTCTTTTCCATTTTCCAGACGTTTTTATTATAGTTCCCTTATTTATTTTGTTTTCTGCTCTATTCAGTGCTACTGCCAATGAAGAACCCAATTAAATTCTTTTAAAAAAGAAAAAATTCAGCAACACTTTTCATTAGTTTTTGGAATAATGAAAGAATATATTATGCTGAAAAATTTTTGATTTCCGTTCTTACTCCCGAACGTAAGCTAAGGAAGTATTGTTGTTGGGTCCATCCGACATGTTTTCTCGGCGTTTCATGGCCCTTATAGTACGAAAAAGTAGGTCTCACGTTTCCGTTTGTCTGAATGTCTGTTTCTGTCGATTTTTATTATACAGATGATATAGATTGAAATGCTGTATCGATTATTGTCAAATTTTGTATGTAGGTTACGTATATCATGTAAATGGTAAAACGCGAACCAAAATTTGTTTAATGGGATAACGCCATCTCCAAAATTTACAATAGTAAATCTTATTTAAATTTTATAAAATAACATACTTCTGTACGTGTAGTTTATGAATCCATGTTGAGACATGAGACAGGCCAGAGTATTAAGGGTTGCAGTGTTATCGAGCATTTATGAACGCCACTGCAATACATTTCAGCTTCAAAAATTGTAAATTGTCAGAAAAACGTTTAAGAGCTTTGTCATGAATTACACCTTGGAAAGTCGATTGGAGTTGAACAGAATAAATCATCTGGTCTGTTTTGCAAAGAAGCAATAATTTTTCAAATAATGAAATCCAAAAAGTGAGGTTAAATTTGTCGAAACCCAATGAACACGGTAATTAATTAAAAAATTACATTTTTTTATAGGTACCCTGAAGGTAAAAATTGTGAAAAATCACGTAATGGACAATGGCAGAGCAAGTCTTATCACAGTTAACGAACAGTACCACTGTTTTAAAATGCCAATGAGTAATGAGTTTTTGCAGTAAATAATTTTGCCAAAGTGGTGATCTCGCGAAAGTTCAGTTTGTAAATTGTAAGGAATCGTCAAAACGTTGTGCAGACGTGGTTTGCGACCGGTGCTTTTCTCTTGAAAAAACACAACTGAAAGCATTGATAATGTAAAAACATTACCTTCAGCTTTGCAGTTTCTAGATATCTCAAACATACTAGATCTGCATAACAGGAATGTCAAAGAAGTTGTACCCAAAACACGCCCACATGTCCATCCTAATATCAAGATTTTTCAAAATGTCTATAATAAAAAATATGAAAAAAAAAAACAATAACATTTCAGGAGCATAGTGTTAAGAGTTCTGTAGATGACTATGAGATCTCTTGAAACAACAGAATGTTTAATAAAGATTTTGAACCTTCCTAATAGTAAAGTTACAATTATTACTAAACAATAGGTTGAAGTAAGTTTTAAATTAAGAGAATGCAACTAACACAGAAAGAAAAATGAAAGTTACTGAAAATAAAAAACTTTATTGCAGTACCTACATACACTTTCTACATCCAATTTTGTTTATTCATCACATTCATTTACTTTAAAAAGTATCGGGCTTATGAATCGTCGTCTAGAAACAGCTAACCACACACCAACCTTCACTGTGTGTAATGGTGTTTCTTCAAAAGGGTGAGTATTTTCTATACACCAAATTCTGAAGTTATGTGAGTTGACATAGCCTGACAGATGAAACCAGGCTTCATCAGAAAAGAACGACAAATCGAGAATCCTGTTATGGTCCATATTAGCTTGAAACCAACGACAATACCCAACGCGGGGAGGAAAATCAGCTGGTTGCAGCTCCTGAACCAACGAAATCTTATATGGATGCATATGTAACTTCTCTTTTACGATTTTCTGGAACATGCTGTATGGTACTCCGGACTGTAAAGAGTTTTGACAAAGCTTTATTCAGACTTTGTTCCATTCTCATCCTTAAATCTTCAACAACACTAACTTGAGGTCTCCCCGTCGGTTTTCACTTAGAAACGCTACCAGTGTTGTTAAATCTGGCCACAATTCGTCGCTAAAGCGTCTTCAAAGATTCTTCCTCAATGACAACAGGACATTTCACCAGATACTCGTTTTTAGACGCCTCCACAGAGTACACTCCATCCCCATCCTCATTTAACACCCCATTGCGGTAATAGGACATGATGATTGCTCCAAAGAACTAAAAAATTCATTTGTAACACTGACTATAGTTCCTCTGTGTTCATTACCTGAGATTATTCCACAATGATCTATAGTTATGATAAAAACTGTTTTTTGAGACACTTAAAGTTCGAACAAATGGGAACACAGCAAAGATGAAAACAAGACAAGTCAATTAACGTACAAAGTGTGGCAAACCGTACCAGTAATCAGTACAAACGAAAAAGTTATTGACATCTGACAGAATTTGATGAAGCGTTGAAACAGTGCAGCCGCTAATGTCATACTAATGTGGCGTTAAAAATAAAAATTCCAATATTAGTGTAATCCTTTCCACAAAACTGAAAAAGGCGGCACAAAATGTCACCAAAGTCATGGCCTTCTTTGACTACAATATTTTATAATGACCCTGTATTTAGAATTGCTAATACTGTAACTCAAAAAAATTAATAAATTTATTTTATTGATCATATCCAGAAAATTTTGGAATACAGTGTTGTTATTGTTAGTATTACATTGCACCTATTCCAAGTGATATACGTGTTCTTTGATAAATTTTGATGATCGTCACAAAATTTTGTTAATAATGATAATAATAATGTGTTTATTGTCTAACAGAACATAATTCCACTAATAAGAGAATCAACCAAATATAAGTAGGTATAATAATGTCATGAGGAAACTCACTTGAAACAACGCATGGCATGCTTCTTTACCTATACTTTAGCAGTCCATACATGTCTTTATTTTAACTGATCGGGGTTATCATAAAAAAATAAAATTCCCAAAATTAAATATTTGTACACCTGTAGTTCAGGAGCGAGGGAATTTTTGTTGAAATTAGATCATTTTTTGACTAGATCGATGCTCAGTGTTCTTACCAAAACTACTTGCAAATATTATTGTAAATAATTGTGCATTTACTAAATTGGGTTGCCAACATTATCCAAATGACTTTTGATGCTGATTTTGTGAAGATTGATAATAATATTAATAATAATAATAATACAATTTATTTGCCCAACAGACACCAATTATAAGACAAAATAAAAAGTAACACTTAATATAAAACAGATATAAATAAATACGACAAACAAAAATAGGTACTAGATCTAAATCTAAACTCAACCTGTTATTAATAATTTATAACAAAAATAAAGAAATAAAAAAACTGAAATTGCAAACTACATCGTAATAATCATTAATAATTTATAACACAAATAAAGAAATAAAGATGTTGAAATTGTAAACTACATCTTAATAACAAAAATATCATTATGTTCTTTGTTAGCATTTCTAGACATGTGAGTAATGGGAGCTTTCCAAAGAATATTGGTTTTTGGAGTTGGAAAATCAAACGTAGACATATGACGAGTTGCAATCCGTGCGTGGGAGAGAGAAATTTAACGACGACAAGAGATGCAGGACAATCAAGTTTCCCGTTCACTAATTTCCATGCAAAGCGGGCACTATGTATTTCTCTCCTTCTGGCAAGACTTATGACCCCATGTCTTTGCATCAACATATTATAATCAGCATTTCGCTCTGGATAAATCCCTCACACCTAAAAGTCAAAAATTTCAAGAAGCGACGCTGAATTTTCTCAATTGCGAACTGGTGTGTAATATAAATTGATACCGACTGTCAGGATTATGGGACTAATAATTTAGAAACCCCTTTAAGTCCAACAGGCGAACTATCCAAAATTTCATAAATCTGAAAATTTTCCTCTGTTCCTAGAGAATGCCATCAATTATATGCGTTCTAACAGACACTCTCTAATAGCCATACAAGGCTACTAACGAGAGATCCGAAAAAAGTTACAATTGAAAATTTGACTTTCCTACCGGCGAAGTTAGTAAAATTCATCACGGCCAAAATAAACATAAATTCAGAATTAACATTTATCTTAGACCAGACGTTGGTACTTATAAAAATCTGTCTTGAATTATCACAGACCTAAATGAAAATTTCTTCTCCTTCTTGACTCATTTAGTTCACACTCTACGCATTTAGAGTGTGTAAGATATCCGTGAGAATATTTCGCAAATATTAAAACCATTAAAACGTGTATTGCAAGATAAAAGCCTCTCTACGACCAACCCAAATATCTCGGCTTCATCCACAGAACTCCCTGATATATCGCATCAATAATTCTAAATAGCCGAGGGTGCCGCATCCGCTGATCACGTTCCCGAGGTTTAGTCCGT